AACGAAATCACATCAATCTTATACAGAGGTGTACCGGAATGGATACAAATGTCATGCATCTCAGGGAAATCAACCGGTGTGTTCTGTTCCGTAGGATAGCGTTACCTCCAAAGGAGAGTGCTTGTGGCAATACAAGTCCTCAACACGTTCAATTTGGATTGATTTTTTTTCCTCAAACGATTGGTTACCCTATGCACCGTGCCTCTTCGAGGTCGATACAACCTAAATACAAATATGCACACGCGCACACCTACGTACACACCTGCCTGCATACGTAGCATTATTGTCGTGACCCATTCATACGGGCTTCTTACTTGCACATTTTTTCTCGTACCCGACAGGATTATTATTGGACTAAATCATTTTACGTCTGTACTGACTAGTAAGTAGTGTCGAGGTCCTAAGACAGTTACCCTTGTGGTATGATTTCATGCAGCGAACAAATACACTAAGAATATAGAAGAAACCGTGAGCTTAATCGAGCTTAATCAAATGAAGACCAAGAATCTGATATTCTCCGGTGTGAAATAATTTTCCAACGAAATTTTAACATGTGGCCTTCGAGAGCAAATGGTCTTCAGTGTGAGTAAGTTTTATATCCCACTTCTAGAATCGTTTTATTGCTTAATTTGTCTTCTGCAGTCCATCACTTCATATTAATTTCGACTGCCCTATTTTTGTTACCATCGGAGACCAAGCGATTCTTTTGGTGCTTTAACAGGAGTGACCAATTCTAAACCAGATTCGTGGTGCTTCCTAAAGCATGTTCTGACCAAGGCTGCAAACTAAGATGCTTGTGATCGTGGAGAGGCTTGCTTCGAATTCCAGGTCCAATACGGACAGAAGCGAATTTTGTCGGAGACATCCGGCATTACAAAACGACTGATTTGTGCGTAATCCAAGACAGAGTGAGAGTAAGATCAATTTCTCCCGGTGATCAGCCCAAAATATAACGAACACCGGTTGGATAACTTGTTTTGGAAAAAATAAACACACTTCTGCAGCACCACTGTTTTAAATGCTAAAAACATTTAAAAAAACTGCTGCCACAGAAGCCGATGATAGAAATGCAGGTTATTTAAACAAGTAGGTCAACCAGTTTGATCTTATTCCTGTCACTTGGGAATGCGATTACACACGTTGTAGTCAAACTGACAGTTTTAAGAAAAACTCTTCATCTGTTTGAGGCTAGCATCATGTTATTGGAATGTGAGTTTCTATTTGATAGTCTATGATCGCCTCTTTACTAGCCCTGAAAACTTCATAAAATCCCTATTGGACAACGGAAACAGATCAATCAGAAAGTCCGTCCTCAACGGAGATAACAATTGCTCTGAAATGTTCCAGTGTGACTCCTGATCCGAGGAAAAATTGGAAATCCAGTCACAGTTATTCACTGACCGAAAACTTCTAGCTCGTTTTACTACATCTTTTCCCATCAAGCTTTAGCCATAGCCCGCAGTCCTTTAGCCACGACCCACAATCCTTTAGCCACAACCCATCATTCTTTAACCAAAACCCTCAATTTTTGAGCCTCAACCCACAATCCTTTAGCCAAGACTCATCATTCTTTAGCCTCGAGGCACAACCTTTAGCAGTGCCGCTGCAAGCCAGTCAGGTCGAAAGTATCGGACCACAATGACATCAAGAGATACTGGAACAATTTATTATTTTTTCACAAAGATTGGTGTTGTGATGCTAACGGAACAAATATGAAATTGTGACGATCATATGCTGCGCAGCTGACCGTGGTAATGGTATCAAATGCTGCACCGAAAATTAATTGGAGAGGGTCCAAACCATGTGACTGTATCGTCGAACCACGTGGCATAGCTCTCATTACTGCTGCCTGTTCGGTAATAGTAATCGTGTCAAATGCTGCAGGATAAATAGATGGATGACATTATTGGGGGTGTACTTACGATAACTGTGTGTATTTCTCTCGGAATTTTAATGTATCCACTTATCTAATGAACCAAAACCTTTATTTTGTTTCATTATATCCAGTGCTGATATTTGTCTATGACTTGAAATGCAAAACAGAGCACCGTTTGTGACATTTTACCCTTGCATGGGAAGACCCGTTTTCGATTGGTTGATACCTCGTTCGGAGGCAGTCAGGCGATGCAATCTCACCGTGGCCGTTTGTTATAATATTCACCATACTTTACCTGGCATCGTAAGCACCACCTCTTGACAATATGGAAAGCAGTAATGTGGGTGAGAAGAAAAGGTCATACCGTTTCACCAGTGCTGAAGATTGACGCAGGATAATCGAATGCGCACGAAGGGAAGATGATTTAAAGGACATTGCCAAACACCTTAACATCAAGATTGAAACATGCCGTGCTTTTACAGCTACAGATAGGGAAACGGCATTCACACCTGGGTCCTACAAGAGGAAGTTCAACGATGAGTTTGTCAGGAATATTTTTGAAGTGGTAAACGAAAACCTCACAAGCACATTGAGGTAGTTAAAGGAAAGGATGGAAAAGAGTTTTCCAAGCACAACAATCAGCAAGTCATCTATTGATCCATTGTTCAGTTAAGAAGCTGACTATTCAACCAATGGAACGAAACTCAAATGCAGTCATATCTAAACGAGCAGAATATGCTGATTGGCTGCAACGAGCAGGTACTGCAACATTGAGGTTGTTCACCAATCGCCGGTATCTTGAAGTATGAAAGTCATACAAAGACTATATGGCATATTTTTAATGAGTTTCTCTCATGCTGCTGAACTTCTATTGCTACTAAGCAACCTGATGTTCCAGTAATATTTTTATTTGACGTGCCCGTTCATCTGAGGGCTGTGGAAGCACAATTACACACCGGTCACCAAATACGTTTTCTCCCGCCGTATAGTCCACTTTTCAATCCGCTTGAGGCCTTCAGTGAATTCAAACAGGTAAAATGTTTGCTGCTTTAATTTGTTTATATTTTTAGTACATTAAGAACTGGTTCACTGAAAATACAACAGTGAAAAGGACTGGGCCCCAATGTTCGACGATAGGTGGACATCGTTTAAACCTTCTCCAATTAATTTGCGGTGCAGCATTTGATACCATTACCACGGTCAGTTGCGCAGCATATGATCGTCACACATTCACATTTGTTCCAAGTTTTATTTCAAGTCTGGGTTATTCTGACCAGTCAAGTCAAAATGATGTTGCTAAAACTGTGTACCTTTTATTTCTGATGCAAATATGTCCCGATCACGAGCTGCAACTTCGATTTACAACTCCGTTGATTGCGGATTACGGATGGAATGAGACGAAGTGAACCCGTTGTTGCGGAAAGCGATTTCGTCGTACTGACAACTTGATTATACTAATCGATCTAAACTGAATATGGGAGATAACATGGGGAATGATTAATTGACCCGCTCGTTTTCTCATTTGCAAAGAACTGATTAGGGTCAAAAAGTTGTGGTTGACGGATGAGTTATACGCGTGGGCTACACATCCGTGGTGTCTCCGGGACCACTTGAACACTTTCGAGGGAAATGATATGGAAGAAAATTTGTTTCCACAATGTAGTATGACTCAATGGTTGACGGATTTCAATACAAGGAGCAGGTATTTTCGTTAACGCGTGGTCTTACCACACACACGGTTTGCTCTCGGGGGTCGTTCATGAATATTCATGCTTACATTCAACAGAATGCGTGGCACACAGATAAACGACATTCCGTACTGTTTTTCTCTACGTCGTGGTGAGTGAATTTGCTGATAGTAGAATTTGGCACCCAACCACTGCTTGATTGGTTGTGATCTGTTACGAAAGCGGAACTATCACTCAAGAAGATAATTTGTCAAATTGTTCCCGAAGGACGGGTGATTTTCGAGTCCACGAGTGGTTGCCGCCCACACTTTAGTGTTGCGTGTACTCTTACAACTGAGCCACCGCGTCAAACCGTTGGTGATTGTATGCCAAAAATAAGGGACAATGATTTCACTATTATAGTTCACGTTGTAATGTTTGAGCTATAAACAGATGAAATATTATGTGACTGAAGTAATTTGAACAACCGCCGACTTCATTCTCGCTAGTGCTGATTAGCTGTTGTGGGTGAAATGGACCGTCTCTTGCTCATACACAGTATGTGCCTCGGTAAATGCCGATCAATTTAAAGAAAGTTTATGAAACGGATCGCCTGTCTTCACATTTTTATTCTCCCTCGAATCTGTATTTGTTACTGCCAAATCTCTTCAGTAGTTCGGTGCTATGGATAGTTTGTCTGATGCTAAGTACGGACTGAATAATTCGTCTAATTTCTGAGTAATATTACGCTGTCTGGAGGCGATAGTGTTCACGGATAAGTCTACGTACTCGTTTTATCTTCGTTTGTCACTTCTGGTCTCAGACACGTGGAGAGATGTAAGGATCAAGGGAGAAGATAGAAAAATTATTGATTCAATGACTTCCGTATCAAGTAAATGGTAGCGAACTTTGTTGACGTTGTCTGTGATCATTTGCCAATTAAAGTACTCTTACGTAGGTCAACCATAAGGGCAGCTATCTACAAGCATCAAAAAACACCCAAACTGGCTTACGCTATGCGTAAAGTTCGACTGTTTTGCGCTGGGTAGTGGTCGATCACTTGATCATCCTTGATACTTATCCACCATGTACTACAACACGCATCAAGAACATTTCAATTTCGGACACTGACAACGGTCAAGGCAACGAGGTGTTGTCTATTAAGGTCACATCTATACACGTAAAGAAATTGGTTCAAACACTCCAAACCCCTGGCCGAATGCTGACTAAGTCATGTGGAAACATGGTGGTGAGGTGAACTGATAAATACGATAGGCAAGAGTCTAACGTTAGCTAACATAGAGTTATCGGAAAAGATGGTAGTCAGTTGACTTTTCGGTTACCGCGAGCTACCTTTCTCAAAACCAGTTTGCAGTCGATTGCCATCAGAATGATGGTATGTTATTCTTTTTCCATAGAACAGATTTTAAAGTATTCACTTCTATCTCATTTTCTAGGTCATTGTTCCACCAGGGAGTCGAACCACTGCCGAACTGGTAATCACCGAAGATGAATACGATGGGAAATTTCGTGTGGAAACTATTTTCTCCGGGTCTATCACAGTGCGTCTACGTGACAAACGAGATGGTAGTGAAATTTACGTCATCAGACTGAACGATTTGACCCGCGTGTTTACCGCGGAGTACGGATTTCAACCGGTGACCGGTCAACCCGGTTCCGTGTGCTTCATCAACGAGGGCCAATGCCACTGTCATTTCGGAATTGGACAACAAGTGATGTTGCATCAGGAGAAAATTTAACTCGTTTTTGCACTCGATGAAGAACTCCATGCACACAATTTTTTCCCCATTCACATCCCTCGTGTGCATAGTGTTTTCCGAAATCCGCAAAACATACTTTGATGGCAACTTATGGGAAATCAATGAATTAAAATGTTGATTCCCTTTCAAGCCCTTAAACCAATATCATTCACTTTTCAACGAAAGCCAGAGATAAACCACCGTAAAGCCGGATTCTAGTCAAGGTTTTATTCATTCTTGTTCTTTTGCCAAAGATGAGCATGAAAATAAACTTGTTTTTGAAAAGTAAACAAGGGTTCGTTTTGCTGTGCGGGTTATACAAAACCTCCGAACTGTATTCACGCTCGAGGCTATATAAACTGTTCAACTGAACCGATTCCAAAAGTGATCAAGACCTAAGTTTTTCCGTATAACTAGTGTTTAGACAGCTGTAATTATCCTGTTTGCCCAGTGGCGCAATCACGCTGAAAACGTATCAGCTGCAGCTAGTTCGATGAACTACTACATGAGAGTTCAGCGTACACGCAAATGCATAGACGGACTCAGAAGAGCAAAGTCTTCGAGGGATGACACGAACTTGTCTAGTGACTAAATACTTGCATTCGTGTTGTCCAACTCGGCAAAGAACAACAGAATAGAATCCGTATCCTTGTGTTTACTGAGGCTAGCATATGGTCAGGAATTAAAAATATTTGTTATACTCCTCAGTTTTCTTTGTGTGGTTCTGTTAGGCTGAATCACAAGTGTTGATCGTTCAGAATGTAATAACCTCAGTGTTACGCTGCGAGTAGTGAAATAATGAACACTTCATTCACTCTAGTTTTGGTGCTTATTAATTGTACTGCGTGGATTTGTGGTTCTGAAGGCTGGATAGAAAATTATGACAACAAAAACGAATATCGTAGGTCGTTGATTGCTCAGCAGATTTTGTCTTTCATCATTTTACGCAGTTTATTTGTAACTTTTTTGTATTTCTGACATCCGCCTGATTCCAGGCTGTGTCCCAAACAAAAAGTGGCTCACTCGGTGAGGAAAATGTAGATGGAGTCTGATTCCCCTTGTTTTCGGGAGCAATACAACCAAGTTGTTTAAACTAAAGCAGGTGATTTTCATAGGGGTCCACCACCAGGGCAATTAGCTATCCAAAGCCTAACTCTCAAAGATGTGGGACGAAGTATGAGGTTCGCAACCCACCGGGGGTGGGTGACTGATTGTTCAGTCCATACGTCTTTCCTGTAAAGCCAACATACTGGGTACCCCTTACAACCTCTGCCACAAGTGACGGTGAGCATAGTGCTGTGCACTTCGTAGACCGTCTATGGTTGGTTTGGAATCAGGGTCTAGTCATCTCCCTTAGAATGAATAACATCCAACCCGGTGGAGATTGCCGGGTGTTCGCCTTTTTTTCACACTCCAGTGCAAGCACCTCCATCACGAGACGACACTGTACACAACTCCTTTAGCGATAGTGTCTTGTGGTTCAACCTCAATATTCGTCAGACTAGCGTTATACGTGCAAATTGAACGAGATGACTGAATGAAATTAAGTATCATATGCGAAAAATACTAATGATATCTTCAGTTTAGCGAGGAATTTCGTCTTAGTTTGCAGATATTTATCCTATGAAGACGTTTGCCAAGGTTAGTTCCGTTGACTGTCTGGGATGCTTCTCCGAACGGTGTTGCTGCGGCCGACTTGAGGGTTAACTACTCGCAGAAACTTTCTAAGTGAAGACCTTCGTAACTTTCGCTAGTTATGCTCCCAATGAGTTAAATGGATCGTTTAGTTTGAAGGAAGTTGTGATAATTCCATAATGTTTACAAACGTCACCGTCAGCTAGACCGCGAAGTGGAAAATTTGTTGTAGGATGAAGTGTGTATTTAATCCATAGATAACATAAGTCATAAATAGCTGGCGTGAAAACCTCATGATTACTGATGTGTCTTAAAAGTATGACTTGGACAACGAATTCATATATTTTTAGTATGTTTTTAGTCACTGAATAGCAACAAGAAGTTCGCTATTTTCATTACCACGAACAAGGTGTTGGAATGGTAAAAATGATTATAGGAAGGATCTGTGCATGTATACGACATAACAAAAGTATATTTCAAATAATGTTTAGTTTCAGAGCTTTTCAGCGTCAATAATCGTTAGTTGTATCATTGGTCATTTAGCCGTGCTTTTTAGCTAAATGCGTATCAGTTGTCGAGCACCTTCTTAAATTTACCGCAGATTTGTAAACAGCACGCTGTTGAATCACAGAACGCTATTCTTCCTCAGCCAGTGCTGCCTGAAGCACGCCGTCATTTGGGAACAATCTGAAGGACCTTCAGGGCTAGCAGTCATTTGAGAGCCTAGAACACCCAGCCCCGATCTTACTGGATGCTTATTTGTGATAGGTTTTGGAATAGAAGCTCAGGTCTAACAACACAGCAGGTTACAAAAAATATATTCGACTAATTCCACATCATTTGGTATTCCGGCTTCTCTTGCCATTATTGACTTTTCTGACATAAATATCAGAATGGTCTTTGAATCTCGTCCAGCTACACACTGTTCCTCATATTGGGAAGTGACCGAAGAGGTTAGTCTAGCAATTGAATCCAGAAAGAAATGCTTGCATCTCACATTTTATGTCTTCTATCTGTTTTGATAAACTGGATCAAGGGGACCTAGAGTTTCAGAAATCCAGAATAGTTGTTGTGTCACTGAAAAAGTGGTCGAGTATAACTGGGCACCGACCTGTGTTATTCACATCTAGCTGTCAGCGCTGCCCTAGCTCAGCTGATAAGGTAGCAAAGCAAGCTGATTTTCTATTATCATAATTTACATAAGGCACATGGTTTATACTCGAAAAATTCTCTGGTACTTGAACTCTTCCGAGGATCAGACATCTCCTGAGCTGAACTTTACTGTTCAGTGTTTTCCTGCGTGAGCAGTGCTCTGATTTTTTTTAGAAGTAACGATGTGTTGCTGTTCACTTTGCACTTTCAGTTGCTCCTCCTCAAATATCTTGAGACTTAAGTACGAACTCTTTGTTTCAGTCAATGATAAAGTAGTAGTAGCAGTAGTAGTGGTGTTACTGATAGTAATAGTGGTAGTAGTAGTAGTAATAGTAAAAGTAGTAGTAGTACCAGCAGTGTTATTGGTAGTAGTAGCAGTGTTATTAGTAGTACCAGTAGTAGTAGTAGTAGTAGTAGTAGTAGTAGTAGTAGTAGTAGTAGTAGTAGTAGTAGTAGTAGTAGTAGTAGTAGTAGTAGTAGTAGTAGTAGTAGTAGTAGTAGTAGTAGTAGTAGTAGTAGTAGTAGTAGTAGTAGTAGTAGTAGTAGTAGTAGTAGTAGTAGTAGTAGTAGTAGTAGTAGTAGTGGAACATGTTAGGGCAGTACTAGTTCGAGGGGGATTGCACGTGTTCAGTCTGCAAAAGCGCAATAGGAGGAGAAATTGCGGGAGCCGAGACTTATTAGGTGTGTCAGCAGGCATCACCGTTAGCACTGATCAGACCACAAGTATTAGTAGTAGTAACAAAATTCGGTCTTAATTTTGTCAATATCACTTTAGTAGGTCCTGACGGTTTACAGAATAACTGACCGATCATGAAAAATGACAGTTAGATTTTTACTTGAAGTATTATAGTGGTAAGTCACTATACACCTCTGAGGTTTTGCTAGTTGAAAACCAATGTTAGCACCGAATTTTCACTGGGCACCAGGAAATGGTCGAACATGGTTGGTGTAGAGGATTGTGACCGTCGAATTTCAGCTATCCGGTTGGATTAGTATGACCTACTTCATGTTAGCACCATTGTTATGTCGGGGCGCAAACCTCTGGATGATTCCCCGATCGTCCAATCCCAACGGAAAAGTAACTACGAGCAAGTGCGGAAACTGCATTCAGTCACAACCAGAAATGACCACTTTATATAGGATGAAGCAACACATGCATGGACACATAAGGCGTCGTGATTGATTATCCAGCTTGGTGCGCAGATGTGAATGGGTTAGTCGAATCACATTGTCAGAATCCTGATTGGTTGGCCGGTTGATGTGAAAGGTAGGCAGTAGGTTGTCCGTCAGTGGTCGGTGTGAACAGTGACGTGTGGTAGACTGATCAACTCATGAGAGCACGCGTCACGGCTGCACTGCAATGTCGGATACGCGGGCCTTGTCTTTGGTTACTGTTCACAAAGCACCCTGTCCGTGGATTGTAAGAATGTGGACTGCAGCCTCGCAGATGACGCTTCTTCAGGAAGTTTTCCCACTCCCTGATAACCTTTTCCAACTTTTATCTTGTAAATCGTCCTCTTTCTCTCTTTCTCTCATACACAAAGGTGACATAACTGTCAGTTATCTCACAGAGCCTGGTTACTCAAATAATTCCATCAGTCAGAACCACCATATAATATGGGATGCACCAGCAAGAGTTTTGCTGAGTAGATCCAAATGGTAAATATCTCCGGGTCCCACGAGACTAAAATCCACTGAAGGACTTCACCGCTAGTGTTTTTGCCAAGTGGACTGTGAGGCCACGCCTAAAGTCTATGGATCATTCTATTTATGCACCAACTCGCAAACTGTCCGGTGACTTACTAAGTGGGCTCTTAGCTCAGCCGGTCGAGTGCAGAAGACCCAAAGGCTGCCTGAGGAGGGCCCGTGCATGGATACTCATTTCTCGAGGACCAATCTGCTTTGACTCAAATTTATTCCGTATTTCACGAGCCGGATAAATCGTGTTACTACGAAACACAATGTAAATCATGAGAATGAACATCTCCACATAACTACATGTATTGTCGAAAATCGAATGAACTCATGATTTTTTCGAATTATTCCATCCCCACAAAAAATCATTTCACCGTGATATACAAATTTATTCAATGGAGAGTCCACTTGCATTTTTCACACAAATTTATCACATGACTTTCACCCACGGTTTCGCTACTGGTAAATACACCGGCATTTTGAATTATGTTTCCTGTCATTGGCGAACAAAGAAAGTTAAATTCAATAGACTGGCTATTTCGTACACGGCTCCCATCCACAGAAGTGAGCATATGAACCACAAAATAGAAAAATAATGGATACACACCTACATGCAAAACTCCCTCACATTGTGAGAAGTGTACAAATATTGTCGATACGAGAGTTTCATAAGCATGTTTTGTTCTCGTACACGACAGCATTAACTCAGAACAACATACTCTGTTATCAGTGCGAACTAGCCGTTAGAGGCGAGGTTATATGACGATAATCCTTGTGGACCGACTTCATGCGGCAAAGAAATGTGCTCAAATACAGAAGAAGCCTCATTTTTTCAATACTAGCCGGCCAAAACCATGACGGAATGTGGGTCTGTGAGGGAATGGGAAACAAGATTTACTTACATTGAAATGACCCCCGTATTAATATGAACACAACCTTCATACACGTTAATTATAAATGGTCCCACCCATATTTTTCAGGAGCTTTCACTGTTCCATCATCGATAGGTTAAATACTGGACATTGTATACGATTATTGTCAACACGGAGTTAGTTCAGTATTCTCGCTATTTCATGTAAAGAAGTCAACCTACAAACCCGTGAGTATGTGGACTGCAAATAGAAAATTAATAGGTATTCATTCTCGTGGCAAACTCTACCGCGACTTAGGAAGTTTGTGCTGTTCTTCCATGAACGATATGCCGACTTGTTCCAGCTACCAGAAACCTACTTCAGCTGTGTTGCCACCGGTTATCTTAGAATCTATTGCGTGCGTTCTTTTCGCTTCCAAAGTTCAATATGGGGAAAATGTGGTCGTTCAGGTCTCCAACACCGAAAGAGAATTTCCCAACACAATCAAATCAGGGCTGTTATGGAGCGATTTTGGTAGCTGAACATTCAAAACCATATAATAAATCAACAGATAAACATTCGTATATGAGGCTTAACCTGACGGACTGGCTGGCATCAAAAATGGCCGCCCAACTATACTTCCAATCTGATCCTTTAGGAACATGTATTTTGAGTTCAGTGAATTTCGCTTTGCTCAGAGATTTGTTTAAAAAACTCCCGCGACAATGCTGACTATAAATCATTTTAGCCCAAATGAAACGGCCTAATAAGTTTCACAATCTCTGAGTCATTAGGACGTGTGTCCAGGGGAATTCCCTCGCTCTAGTCCTACAATTTTAGCCTTCTGAGTCTATAGGCGGAGCGAATTGATAGCAAAGACGATTAGCGATCCAATTCAAATTCATTCTTCGTAGCTAAACGAGATAACTTTTGGTGTGCTTATAATGCTGTCTTTAGATCGGTCAAATGTTGACACAGCTCAATGCTTTTCACTGTACTTCGCTAAATGTTAAAGCACCTGAATGCGACAGCTTTTCTCTAAATGTGTTTATTGTACTTTTGGCACTTGTATTTGATCAAAAAAGGGAAAACATCGTTATCCAAGTCAGATACCTTGATATTTCGCCCACTTCGTCGTGTTAGGACATCATTTCTTACATGAATAACAAGTACAAATATGTAGTTATTTACAGAGAGATTCCGAGCAAAATTTATCACAAATGCATGTGTCTGTTGCGCTGTTCGAAAGTGATCTCTCTCCTATTCCCTAAGGTGGTAGAATTTGATAGTTTTGGGAGCCTTTATCGTCATTACCTCGAAAACAGAATGATCGATGACCTTGACGTGGAGGTCATGAACAGACAGGTATTTCCCTTAAGGCCAATATCAAATAGTTAATGGCCATTGAATAGGTAAGTAATTTATTACTTTCTAAACATGCTTGAATTCCTGTTGCTGGGCGGAAATGTGGTCGATCCGTAGGTACAAACAGAAAAGCTCTTTGCAGGGTCAGCACATATTCACGTACAACAAAAAACCCCTCAGATGAATTTCGCCTTCATGAATTCTCACTTCTTTCCTTCAGGTCAAATCATCATGTTATCCAAGGTCACACAATACCGATTTCCCAGAGAATATTAACGATCTAACGTAGAAGGAGTATAACTTCACACTCATAACTATCATTTGGAGAAATATTCAAAAAATTAGAACAAAACTCTGATCAAGAAGAAGAAAATTTCATTCAAAATTTGGTTGCGCCAGTTTGTAATTTGAGTCCATACGGTCAAGCCGTAGTCGGCAGAGAATTCTCCCATAGTCTGATGTTAAACTGTACGATTACTCTTCGATTTGCTCATGGTCCGTTTATTTGGCTCTTCTTTTTAAGGAATTGACAACATTATTTTCTTACCCCTGACAGTGCTCAATACAATACGAGTTATCCAGGTTATTCTTCAACGATATAATGCATTGACAAAACGCTGAATATAGTGAATGAACAGAGAAGAGCTTGAGCAGCAAATTATACTGTTATGAGGGGGGAGGGCACATGTGACGTTTTTTAAGTGACATCATATAGGTAGACGATTTTGTTTATTTCACGTCGTTGCCAATGGACACCATATATTATGCCACATTCCGTGCGACGCATGCATATCTGATGAAAACAATGAGAAACTAAATGGCATATTTATCTTATCGGTTGGGACCTTCCGTGATACCATGGAAACAACGTTTACGCATCACAAAGAACTACTGCAAAACAGCAAATGATACAGTGGTTGAAGCAAATAAAGTGGGATCCGAAATACTTCAGTCGGATTATTGCGACGCCGAATCGGAATTTCTGAATTTGTGTTGATTTGTTCTTCTTCTGCTATTTTTTTAAATGTGCTGTCCGTGTTTGTGAAAGGAAATTCACAAACCCATCGGGTTTTCCCTGACAATGAATCACAGACTGTACAAAGACTTCAGGATGAACAAGTAGTTTAATGTCCTCCTCGTTTCAAAACGAAAACGCTGCTGATTTCCGTTTGCTTATCGAAGAGAAGGATTTATTCTGAGACGAAAACCCAACCCATAATCCCACCATTGTCGGTTAAAATCCAAAATCTTTCTTTTTTAAGTCTTTTTTACTGACTTGCTTTTATCATGAAATGTAGGCACGCAATTTCAGGAAGGGGTTCACGACCAATATGAGGCTGCTTAATGGGGAAAGTGACCTGCGGCCAAAACAGGTCTCGAACTCAGAACAGCAGGGTTGAAAGCCCATGAGGATGACCTTTTGAGCGCCCCCGGTCAATATTGATGAGACTCTAAGCTTATATCACCATTATGCCTCTTTAAATGTTTAAAAATTGACGGACTGTATAATCACATGATTTTGTAAGCTGAAAAGCAGACGGTGAGGGTAGTAAATGTTTTATCAATTATATTTGAATGAAAATCAATAATTTATTTTGACTTTTTGGATTTCCATGTTCTGGTGGGCCATGCGAATAGTTAAACCACGATATTTATATATGCACTATACATATAGGTGAAAGCAAAGCGTGAATACTTGTTCATGTCTCTCAAGGCAGTTCTTATTGATTTATCTACCACACACAACAATGATCCTGGTCATTACTCATCAGGAACAGTCACTGGAACGGACACAGGCAGGTTATGGAGCACAAAACTATTAGATTCTCACAAGTTTGCAGCAG